ACCAAGCCGTTTCAAATTCGCGCGTTGCAAGAGGCTGAAACCGTGCTGGAATTTCTTCACATAAAACTTCAACAAAAAAATCAGCCATTGGTGGCCTCCTGAGTGACTTCAGAACCTTCTAAAGAGTTCATCCAAGCTTCACAACACCCTTTAGCCATTGCACGCACGCGACCAATAAAGCTTGCACGTTCCGTAACGGATATTACACCCCGCGCGTCTAAAAGATTAAACAAATGGCTTCCCTTCAAACATTGATCATATGCGGGTAAAGGAAGGCCCTTTTCTAAAAGACACACACACTCAGATTCTGCATCTGAAAAATGTTGACGCAGAATGTCTGTATTCGCATGCTCAAAGTTATATGCAGAAAATTCACGCTCATTACGTTGATAAATATTACCGTAAGTAATTCTTTGATCTCCTTTGGCACCATTCCAATCCAGCGCAAACATATCTTCACATCCTTGAACTGTCATGGCTAAACGTTCTAGACCATAAGTGATTTCCACGGAAACAGGAGAGCATTCAAAACCACCCATCTGTTGGAAATAGGTAAACTGAGTCACTTCCATTCCGTCACACCATACCTCCCAGCCAAGGCCTGCAGCCCCCAAAGTTGGGCTTTCCCAGTTATCTTCTACAAATCGGATATCATGTAGAGAGGTATCAATGCCGATCGCTTTGATCGATTCTAGGTAAAGATCTTGTACATCTTTAGGAGATGGTTTTAAAATCACTTGATACTGATAATAGTGTTGAACACGATTAGGGTTTTCGCCATATCGCCCATCTGTAGGGCGACGAGAAGGTTGCACATAGGCCGCTCTCCAAGGCTGCGGACCTAAAGAACGTAGTGTTGTTGCAGCATGAAACGTTCCGGCACCCATTTCCATATCATAAGGCTGTAAAAGGGCACATTCTTGTTTTGCCCAGAATTGGTGAAGGGCCAAAATCATATCTTGAAAGCATAACGCCACGAGATCATTACTCCTGAAAAAAGCGAATTAAACACTATGTATCCAGTGCTTTTGTTTTAAGTCAAGCGCTTGCCCATGTCTTTGTATAGATTCAGCATGTGATGTCAAGCTTCCTTGATCATCACGAATTGTTACACTAGGCAGCAATACAGCTTTGCCACGCCCTCCTTTCCGCATTTGCAAAAGGAAACGTTTTGGGGCTTTATTTTTGCGTGGCCACAAAGGACAAATAATACAATCTCCCCCTTTATTATTGAGAGCCCCTAATACTTCATCAAGTCGGTCAATTGTATAGATAAGGGAAAAAATACCGCCTGATTTTAGCATGCGGAAACAAAAATTAAGCCAATCTTGAAGAACAACAGTCGTTTCGATGTTTGCACTGTGCTTTGTTAACATAGGAGAAGAAATTGCATGCCCTCTACGCAGATAAGGCGGGTTAGACATAACGTGATCAAATGAATTGGGGGTTAACTCTGGAATAGATTTCGAAATGTCCCCTAATACAATATGTGTACGACGTTCCATATGGTTCAGCTCAATATTTGTCTGCGCTAGATTAAAAAGCTCTTCTAGCATTTCAACACCCCATAATTGGCCGTGAGAAATTCTTGCTCCCAAACAAAGAAGAGCGGCACCGGTCCCCATGCCCACGTCTAAAATTTTTTCTTCGGGTTTTAGGTCAATAATAGAGGCGAGATATACTGCATCTTGGGTTGCACGGTAGCCTTCAACAGGTTGGCGCAAGAATAAACGTCCCCCTAAGAATTCATCTTCTGTTACAGAAAAATTAATTGCATTTGTCACTGTGGCCGAGATCCGCTATAGATTTTAGCTATAAAAAAGATTCCTGAAGGATAGTCGTGAATGTCTCTTCTGGCTACTGCTGAAATTGAGACTCCTATTATAGAGTCCCCTTTCCATACAATCAAAAATTTATGTGCCTCTGACCTACAAGAAGTGAATAACGTTCTTTTAGAACAAGTGCAGGGAACGCTCCCCTTTATTACACAACTTGCTAATCACCTCATCCAATCTGGAGGAAAACGTTTGCGACCTCTCTTAACGCTCGCCAGTGCTATGATGTGTGATTATCAAGGAAAAAACCACATTCCCCTAGCCGCATGTATTGAAATGATTCACACAGCGACACTTCTGCATGATGATGTGGTAGACGACAGCCAAAAACGTCGAAATAACGCCTCTGCAAATGCATTATGGGGGAATTCTGCAAGCGTTTTGGTGGGAGATTTTCTATTTTCAAAATCTTTTGTTCTTATGGTGAATTATGGATCAAAAGAAATATTAAAAACACTGTCCAAAACAGCCTCAATAATTGCTGAAGGAGAAGTTTACCAGCTGACACAACTCACAGAACCTACAGATTCTGTTGATGTTTACCTAGATATCATTCAACGAAAAACAGCATGCCTTTTTGCTGCTGCATGTAGAACGGGTGGTCTTGTTGCAGAGGTCTCAGAAACAATCATTAAAGCCCTAGAAAACTATGGACATAATTTAGGTTTAGCGTTTCAAATCACCGATGATTTGTTGGATTATAGTGCCTGCGAAAGTACTTTGGGCAAAACTGTCGGAGATGACTTTAAGGAAGGTAAAATCACACTGCCTTCAATTTTAGCCTTCAAAAAAGCCACACCTGAAGAGAAAAGCTTCTGGATTCGAACTTTAGGTGAAAAACAACAGCAAGCAGGGGATTTTGAAAAAGCTGTTTCCATTATCCATAAGCACCAGTCTCATAAAGAATCTTTAGCTTTGGCGCAAGAGTATGCAGAAAAAGCCCAAGAGGCTTTAAATGTTGTACCTACATCAGAGCTAAAAAGTTGTCTTCAAGAGCTTGCTTTATATTGCGTGAATCGTTCTTTTTAAGAGAGCTTATCTAATAAAGCCCAAAGATCCGAAGTCTTGGAAAAAGCTTTCTTTTTTGGACCAGAATCCAATTTTCTTTGGGCTTTTTCGACTCCCAATCGAGCTAATCTGTGATGGTATTTTTTTGGTAAAACAAGTCCGAATTTTTTGCGTGCATTCCACATGTCATATAAGTAAGGGCCGGCAGGTTCCCAATGTTCTTCTATGAAAAGTCTTTCAAGTTTTTGATGGCGCGCTCTTATATTC